TACATAAATACTTAACGTATAACTATTTATTCAGCATTTCTTTAATTACTAATTAAGATAGTCGAACAAAATAAATAACAACAATACGTTGCAATGTATATATGTTAAATGTGATCAAAATTCAGAGATCATTGTAATAAAATTGAACAGGAAAGCTCTGAGTAATCTCCTCTCCTCCCTCTAATGCTATTCTGGGGTGACACGCTGAAAAGACAAGCGATAAGAAAAAGCGTTTGGATGCGCAAGATGATGTGCGCCTGCTTATGCAAAAATATGGTAATCTACCTCTCGTATGTCTCTTACTAGCCGCTTGCCTCCTCAGTGTGTGGCCTGCTTTTATAGTGGGCAGCGCACAAGAAATAAACGCACCACCCTGAATAACTTTTCATCTGAATATCGGATCTTCACGATTTAGGACTCACTCTTGAGAGTTCGAGAGAATGACTTCAAATATGTTAATTAATTAGTACAGAGGATATTTTAAGTTATGAAATCAGACACAGAAACATACTTTCTCTGAATAAACATACCGTTTTTTTAACGAATTCTGATTTCTAAACCCCAAAATATAGAGGGTAACCTGAATTAGTAAAATATGGTCTTTATAGATTGGTCCGAAAAGCAATGCAAAGCTTAAACCACTTATTTACTTTCTGTGTAATTCGCTATATGTCGAGAACTTTTTTTTACAATTCACTTGAAAATTTTTTGAGATATGGCGAAATACGCAAAAAGGGAAATTAATATAAAGAGGTCCAAACTTAGAATCGCTCTCCTGGCCTAACCATGGAGACTGAATTCCTATGGCGCTCAGAAATCCTAATCCATCAAAAAAAAAGTATGTTTAATCAAAGAAAATACGTTTTTGTGTCTGATTTCGTTAACTTAATATATCGTCTGCACTTATTAAACTGCATATTTGAGGTCACCCTCTCAAACCCTTAAGAGTGAGTCCTAGAAGGAGAAGACCATTAGATCAAAAATTATTCAAGATGATCCATTTTTTTTAATGATATTTTTACTACGCACCTTATTTTCCTACATATTTACCTTCTTTCACGATTTTATTGATTTTTAGTATCCATTTTTAAATTTTTAGAATTTATTGGAGCTCATTATTTCTGCAAAATAAATATCGCTATCAACAAAACATTTTATGCAAATGAAGCAGTTACTAACATTCCTCTTTGAAACTTAAATTAATGGTAAGTGTAATACCATGAAATGATGATCTCTCACTATTTCACTAGATTCACTGGAATCATTCCGAACCAGCCAAAGGATAGACACCTCAAGTTCTTTTTTTCCTTCATCCAACCAACTACCAAAGCACTTAAACAATATCTTCAAACTTCACTTATTTATGACGCTTTGAAGACAACATAACTTCACAAATATTCTAATTGAACACACGTGTACCTAGTAGAGTATCAATAACTATCTTATCAATAAAAAAATAAAATCTACTGCTAACTTTTCAGTAATCCAAAAAATCTAAGATTCCATTGTGGACAAAAGAATCGTTTAATCGGTTTCGAGAATATCAGAAATGAAAGTTGTTGAAGTGGAAGTTATACAAATATTTGCTTATACTGAAACTATGAAGTAACTCAGATACTATGGTATGTAGACACACATCATCAATATATAATGTTGGGAACATTCTGTGTTTTAGCTGCTGTTTATATGTACCAGTCGTATCTTTTTCTGTTAATTTTGATTCGAGCTTTGCGTTACTTATCTTGCTCTAGCTTATATCGAGCTTTAGATTATTTTAAAGATTTGTTAAAGATTTCATTGCTCAAAACATTTCTTAATTTCAAAAATCAAGTAATTTATGCTAATAAACTTGCACTTTTAACTAGCATAAACCTCGGAATGTTCGAAGAGATAATGACCAGAGGATAATAGGCATGTTATATATTAATGATTTTATCAAATATTTTCGTTAATTAAATTATTAGTGGTATGATTTTGCAACATAACTTTAAAATTTAAGAATTACGTACAGATTAAGTAATCTAAATTAGATTTCTATGCGTGCAAACATATTTAAATTGGTAACTGTAGCAGAAAGTTGTGAATTAGGTGGAATTAGGAAACATCTTTTAATTTTGTTACAAATAAATATTAGGATAAATTATATATATATAAATATTTTGATCAATTTCACAAGCAATTATTCTTTTAGTCCACAACTAATAAATACTCTAAATTACTATTTCTAGATATGTAAATTGGCAATTGCTTCAAAATTCGACTACAACTAAGCGGATATTTTAACAATACATATATTAAAGTTTCACAAATGAAAAGCTTGAAAAAAGAACGAGTTGAATAAATTTTCATAAATTCCAGAAAATCAGGCTTAGAGCCTGAAGAAACACCATAAAGCAGTCTAAAAGGCATAGTTATCCATTTACCTTATCTACCTAAGTTCATGACTTGAAAAACTTGATTTCACTTCAATATTTTGTTAGAGTGTGCCTGCTTTTAATTGTGTTTCTCTATGTCATAAAATACAACACAATTTGAATGTAACATTGGAAGAAAATTAATACATTAAAACTTTTTTTAACAGCTTTATTAATTGGATGGTTGTAATTTGTTAAAGTCCAAATTTATCCACATCTATATCTTCTAGAGTTTCCAAGAACGACTACATCACCTATTAATCTTCCATCGTTTACTGAACCTGTAATGAAAAGTATTTAAACATAATTTAGTTTGCATAAAGATTATTTAAATATATGTGGTAAATAAATGTTGCTTAAGATATAAATTTTTCACAGTTTTGTTATGTTTTACAAACCACTTATTATAATCAATATTTTCCAAGATAAAAACCAGTGGTATTAATATCTTTTTTACAGTCAAAATCACAGAGCTATTAGTAAGAATATTGGCTTATAATTCAATGTAATTGTTTAAAATAGTAGTTAAAGTATTGCGCATAGAAGACTTCTAACTTCAACGAACCTTCAAGTTGATTAATGAAAGTTCAAGTTCATGAAAAAAGTGAGAACTAAGTGGCACGTTGTGCTGTAAACTGTTCGTCATTCTGAATCATAACTAACTTTTCAGTCATACTGATCAGTGCGATGAGCCTGAATATCGCCATCATGAAAACAATTTGAAATATAAGGCTTCTTGATTTCTAATTTTTCAGCAACCTGTCAGTTCATATTGCTTACATTGTAACGCTTACCATGTAAAAAGGGGGCAACCACAACCAACTTGTAGTTACAAACTTCAACTAATCTTACCTCTAATTAATAAATGGAGAAAAGTTCCTAGCGTTATTAGGCTGCTCGCTCACAAATCTGAGATATCCCGCTCACAAGTTTTTCATTCCTCAGTGAAACAACATACCCCACAAAAACAAATTGAAAGAAATGTTATATTCCAGGGGAACAAATTGAAAGATAAGGTTTCTCTGAGATAAGAGCTCAGACAATGTGGATACCAACCGTAGGGTCCGCAGAGAGGGAGATAAGAATTGATAAATTTATGAAGAATTAGAATGTGGAAAGCCTTTTCTTTCAATTTGTTTTCCTGGAATATAACATTTCTTCCAATTTGTTTTGGTGGGGTATGTTGTTTCACTGAGGAACAAAGAGCTTGCGTGTGGGCAACCTTAAAGGCCTCTGACGAATACCACCAGATTTTTTTCCGGCAGTATTTAGTAGGTGTTATTAATTTTGATTTTAAGTATAAAACGGCTTGGTCGGGGTGGATACCAAAAGATGGAGGGAGAAAAACACGCAGACGATAGAGGGAAAGGAAGGAAAAGTTTGATGGATTTATGGCAATTTATTATGTGGAACGCCTTATCTTTCAATTTGCTCTTTGAATCAAAGAGTGCGAATCTCGTGTGAAGAGGTTGCTTGTGTGTAAACAGAGGTCTGCTGATAAGTCAATAAGTGCTTGATTAGTTCTCTTCGTTGGAATCATCTAGATTAGAAAGGCTGCTCTTATTATATCATCCCGGATGTGGATATATGGAGTGAGGAAGAAATATTGTTATTGAAGACAGTCAAATACAATAAGGCTGCGCTCTAGGAACTTTTATCTTGCGCGCTACGTATTGCCCCTGTTTTTTACCACACACAAATTGCGAGTTCTAGCTTTCTATTACTAATCACCACGTGATAAGGGACAATCCCGCTAACGCTGAGATCTTTGAAGATTCACGTGGCAATTGGAATGTAGAAAGCTAATAAGCGCAATTTGTTTGTGGTCAAAAGCTAGTGCAAAATGTGCTAGGTCACGTTGCAATAAAGAAAAGTTGCTAGCGCTCAGCCTAAAAGTAATCAAAGGGCTCACAGTTTTGAGTCGAAGGAAATATTAAAGGAAATTATACCTATAAAAGAGAAAGGGAGTGAGACAATTTGCGTATATTCTGAGCCCTTAGTGAGACTAAATGAAGTGCATGCATCCCTAATTAGTTAATAGTCATACTTATTAACACTTACCCTAAAATCACAAATCAGCCTTAAACATTTAAGAGGCTTTATAAAACCCCTTTTAAATCCTCCGATTTTCTACTGCATAAATCTCACATTTTTACTGATTCCATACCATAAATCAATTACTTCATGGCACATCGGTAAATGAACAAAAGTGGAGAACTACTTAATATTCCTAGTAAAAAGGTTACTGGAAGAAATATTTAACAGTAGGATAAAAGAAAGTGGAACTAACACCAATTTAACTTCCATGAATGGTGTGCTGGGATCCTGGATTTCGAACACTTTACCTTTAACAGTGAGGGTACCCATCTTCTAAATCTTGGCTAAGTCTTTGAATGCCAAGTTCTAAATAGTACGGGTGAAACGAGCAAATTGTAGACCTTCCAAAATATCTTTATGTCTCGGTTTGTTTGTTACATAATTTAAATTTCTTCGTGTACAATTCGAAACAAATGCACATACTACCATTTAGGCACGTTTCCTGATTATCTTTTATTTGTTACAGTTTTGGAAAACTGTTAACATTGCCCATTTTTTCCTTAATCACCATATTAAGACTATATTTACTCTACAGAAATCATGCTTACCGCATTCCACATTCTTTCCAGCAAATGGATTATTTCCTCCAGAATTTCCTCCTGAATTTCCTCCGCCCAATAATCCACCCAATAAGCCACCGACTCCGGATGATCCTCCACCTCCCAATACTCCACCTAATAAGTCACCAGTGTCTAAAGTCATTCCTGAAATGAACGTAGAAAAACAATTTACATATAAATGTTCCTTTGATTTTTTTCCCTCCATATACCATGAATTAAACGTCACTTTAAGATTTGATACTTTTGAAACGATTCTTAACCCATCAGTGCCTTTTTGAAAATAGTTATAAAATTGAAAAATAAATTTGTAGGAACTATTTTTCGACTTTAATTGGTTAAAAATTACATTTTTTGGAGCGCATTGCACCTGTAGTTTAGTAAATGTAGCTTTTTTTCGTAGCTAAGTCTGACACGAAAACAGATAATAACGTTTGAATTAGCTACAACTTTAATGCGGTACCAAATTAATCCACATTATAGTGCAAATCAGACCTCTACTTGACTACTTGATGCTTAAGTTTATTCCTAAACTTGATACTATGGTTATTTATTTAAATAAAAACCATGTTCAATTTATCAAATTACATAGTAAGGAAGCAGCAATCTTTATGATTGAGGGTACCAATAGTCAAGAAAACCGGGAGTGTTTATTTTTGTCTACTGTATACAATATTTTAGCAATGACATATATTAAAATGCTGTATTCAGCAAGTTATTTAGTAAAAACAATTTTAAAAAAATTTTTAATCTTTCATAAATTTAAATTGTGATTTTTTTTTGACATATTAGTGATTTAAGAATATACAAATTTTTCAGCTTTTTCAAATAAAATGATAGCATTTCGATTAAGATTTTTCCAATAGTTGTCCAGTTTATTTCATAACGTTAAATATAAATACACATCTTTTTTTCGAAAAATTGAAACTTTAAGAAAGCATCAAACAAAAAGGTCTACTCAAAAAAAAAGTAACAACTATGACATACAAATAAAAGTACAATTAAAGTGGTCAATGTTAAAAATTTACGATTTCGAGAAAAACCAAAAAAACTGCGTCAAATGTGGAGAGATTGTCTTAATTGCTTCCAAATTGTTGGATTCTCTTCTTCAGACAGTCTTATAAAAGTCTTATAAATGTCTATTAGGAGAAAAATCACCGCATTATTTACGTCTTAGTTTACAGCGCTATTAATGTCGTTCCATTGATAATGTACTATCGTTCAAATGCTGTAATGACCATTTCTCCCTCATATACCATCATTAAATTCTGCATTCAATACAAACTATCAATTAACTATTTGTTAGTGATATTACGTGTCGTTTTTATGTTACTTTATTTGCTTTCCATTCATTGTATCTAACTGCTATTATATATATTATTATTAAATATATTATTATTATGCACATTATTATTATATAAAAGGAAAAACTGAAAATTAACTAATTCAAAAGAAAACTAAATTAACTCTTACCAATGTTTGCAAGACACGATAAAATGCCCAAAGACATCAACAAGAATTTTAGCAGAGGATTCATGATGCGTTTAATGAATTTAATCCTTTGAGAATATTTTCTAGCTTTTATATCTGTAACAAACACCTGTTACAGTTGCATCACTTAGTTAATGCAATCTTAAACAAAATATGTATTATATTGATTCAGAAAATTTGTGAGTATGCTTTTCGAATGTGTTTAATGCGCTTTCTTCATAGTCAGTTGATTTTTATTTTAAAATGCATTTAATAATTATTTATTTTATGCTTTCGAAACTACAAGAACACACCTTTTAAATGCCTAGTGTGATGTATGTTATTAATTGCTTCATACAGCTGTCGCCAGATAAAATCATCATAATAATTTTTTTATTAATTGAATCATTTAATTAGTCAAGGAGAGCTCAGGGGACGGAGTACTCCATTTTGATCAAAGTCATCCAGGCTTGAATACAGGCGTTAATTGATTGAGCTATAGTCGTTCACTGTTTCCAGTGCCCTCTTCTTAACACAAAAGATCAGCAACGTTAAATCATAAATAAGAATGAAATTTTCCCATTGGTTAACCATGGGAGATTTCAGTGATTTTCTTCTCGAAATCAAATAAGAGTTACTTTTTTTTAAGAAGTTCGCAGCCTTCTTCGATTTCCCTAGAATAATAATTAAAAAGTTTCCGAACCTTCTGAGTTGGAATTAAAACTATGAAGATACGACAACGCTGTAATCTTAAATCAACTTGTGCTTAGATAAGATGATTTATCTGCGATTAAGTTCATCAGCAGCAGCATTGGCGCGACAGCCCTTTGTGAGCCCGGGCCTTCCTCGGAATAGTTGCTGTTATCGAGGATAGCACCAAAGATGGTTCGTAGAACCTACCTTTCGAAGGTTGCTAATAACTTTTCTTCCCTTTTTGTTAAAGTCCATGTCTCTGAAGCATAAGTCAAAACTGACTTGATTAATACATTATAAAGTAAAATCTTCGCCTTTCTTTTTATTAAGTGAGATTTCAATAATGATCTTGAACCATTGAAGCAGCTATTGGCTGCGATTGTTCTTTTTCCGATTTCAGGATTAATGTCATTTTGATAGTTTATTTCTGATCCTAGATAAGTAAAATCGATTAAGTTAGTTTGGAAAAAATAAAATATGGAAATAACCAATATCAAAATAATCAATATCAAAATAATCAATATAAAAACAATAAATGTAAAATTATTCTTAAAGAATTAAACACAAATTTTTAATTCGACAGAAAATTATTAATATTTTTAAGAAACTTTAAAATTTTCAGATATTTTTTTTAAAAGCATTAATTATTTAAAATGCACCCTTCATATTTTAAGAAATGAACTTTTGTTTAATTTCTAAATAAATAATTTTTTATTAGCCAAATCGTGACTTTTGATTCTGGTGTCAAATGGCCCACAATGAAACTCACTCATTTTCCAAAATATTTTTAAAAAACTGCACTTATTCAAATAAAATGTTTTAGCTAAAATATAAAGCAGCATCTTTCTTTAAATTGCTTTATAAATAAGTCAATTCAAGGGGAACTCCTATTGCTCTAGTACGTTAGAAAAAAAAACATGCATTTGTGCATTGGTTTCATTTGTGCAAATAAGCTTCTGATGAAATTTATATAGTTTTTCCTCAGAGTTATTTTACTAAATTTGTTTTCGTTTATTACATTTTTATCTTATTCAAAATTGTGAATTTAATAATTATTAAAAATAACCCATTTTAAAATTTATTTGAAAAATAACTACTTCGAGTTTATCTGATGCATGAAACAAATTGAAGATGGAATTAATTATAAAACAAAAATATGGCCTGAAAGTTGGCATCAGTAAAAATTGAATAAAACTATTATACCAGCTACAATATGAAATACTTCACTCAAACAGATAGTGGTTATCAATAATTAGGAAAATATCTCAATTATATTTTAATCCTAAAATTATGTTTTGTCGGAAGTAAAATTATGAATTATTAACCTTGAGGAATAACTCTCGCTTCACTCTTCCGTGATCATTTTTATTTTCCAAGTGAAAGTTGTTTTATTAAAGTGTTCCACTTTTTTTGGGGGTATTCCCAGTTTCGCTCCCTTTTTGCCCAGGCGACACGCAAATTAGTTTAATCAAGTTGACTACTGAATCGGGAAACACGTGGTCTTTAAAGAACTCGAAAAGGTCGGTCGTCAGGTTTTTATTCACGCAAGAGTGGTTCGCTTATTTAAGCATGGTCGACACCGGTTCAACCAGTATTCATACCATAGCAGCACAAAGGAAATCAAATTAGCAACCGAAGCTCAGGATTTTACACTTTTTTTTTTTCGTTTTCATCTCTTGTTCTGTTGAGTTTTTAGAATAATTCCAGCCAGCAGTTTCTGTTGGGCTTTTTTTGACAGCTCACGACTTCTAAATTCCAGTGAAAAATGGCAAAAACACTGCTGGTAAGTGACGACTTTAAACTGCTAAGTTAATATTATGTCATTATTAATTTGTTTTGTCAAGTAAAATTATTTCATCTAGTAGAATAAAAATTAACTTTCTGACATTTTATGAAAACTTTGAAGATAGGACCATTAATTGTGCTTTGTAATAGTTTTTTTCCTGACTTCTGTTTTTGGCTTAAAATGCCAAAAACAGTAAATTTTGTAGGTAAGTTTCGACTTTTAACTTCTAAATTAAATCATATTGTTTACACAATTAATAATTCCTGTGACCAATTTAATCCTCATATCTTTTTGCCCTTTAAAGTAGAAAAGAGATCATTGTTTGGCTTTTTAATAGTTTAGTTGATAATTTGATTTTAAAAAAATATTTCTTCCGGTAATATGGTTTGAAAAAATGTGTTGTTGACATTGTTAAAATATAAAAGCTAAAATATGTTTTTGTTATAGTTAAAATGTAAAAGCTTCTAGCATTTTATGTTTAAGATCATTTGGATACCTTTTCTCGAATCGAATACAGAAATATATCATATATAACTATTTGATAATACAATAGAATTGCTTCATAATTCATTGGAAAATTTCAAAACACAGTGTTCTAAGAAAACAGGATTTCTTATAAATATTAACTTGCGTCTCCTAAAAATCATAAAATAAAGCTTAAAAAATAATTTTATCAGTAAAGTTTACCAAATATGAAAGATTTATTCAGTTTACTTATTTATTATAACTATAAATACAAACGCAAGCACGGTGTTCTTTAACTAAATTAATTTTACATGATTTTCTCTTAATTCGAAATTAAACAATAAGGAATACTCATCATAATTCATATAAATTTCTCATTCATATAAATAAACATATAAATTTCTCACAGCAGTACTTTTTCAACAGTATCTTTTAACCCTTTTTAATGATTTCTTATGAAAGAATCTATAATTAAAAGAATACGTTTTTTTTCCCTACATTACGAAAAATATTATTTTCTAACTAACATTTGAATGATGTAAAAGTTATTATCTTGATAATATGCTTTTCACACTAATGGGAGATTTATCTAAGAAGTCAAACTTCTTAGAGTATTAAATTTAAAAAAGAAACAGTTTTAAATAAATTTTTTGAAGCAACAAAAACTTTTTTTTTAAATTTTAGTTTTAGAAAATAATGAGAATTAAAATTTTACTATGTTTCATAATTTATTGAAAACTAAAACAATAGTATTTTCATGCTTTTATGTGGCATAATTATTGAGAATTGAGAATCAAGATTCATAATTCAGAATTAAGAACCAAACAATAATAATAAGCTTGAAAAAGGAAAATTACTGTGTCGTTACTTATTTCTAAAAATATACTTACACTTTCTAATTTACAATTACTCAAAAATAATAAACCAACTTTTTATTATTCTAAACATTTCTATAAATTAGTAATTCATGCTTAAAATTTTACTTTTGTTAAAAATAAGCTAATTCATCAACAAAGAGGACGTGGAAAGTTTTAAACCAAAAAATACTCTGTTAAAATATTTTCTCACAAAGCATTTTGTTTAGAAATGGATGAATAATCAAAAATTCTAAATCTCACTTTTTTAAATATTTACAGTTTATAAAAGAACCTATAATTTATAACCTTTTAATGAAACAGCAGTTAAAAAATATTTTAATATTTAAAAGACTTTATTTTATTACTTTTAAGAATATAATAATAATCAACAAGATATTTTCAAATCAAATTTCGACAGTAAAATTCTTTTTTGAAATCTGTAAGATTTACGAAAAATAATATATACCTGCTTTTTTCAAAAGGTTCATATAGTAAGCTTAAAAGTTTTAAAAAAACCTCCTATATAGAAATTTTTAAATATTACGTAATTTGTAATGGTTATTTTATTATTTAAACGTTTATAAGACGTAAGCCTTTTTTTAGTTATACCATCACAAATTTTAATATTATTTATTCACAATATCTTCTAAATTCAGGTAAACTAAGAGTCTTTTATCTTTTAAATACTTAAAAAGAAAGGAGAACTAGGCATATGTAAAAAAAATTATATTATAAATTCCAAATGTTAAGAAGTAGTTAACATTTAGAATATGCTATAATGACTCATCAATGTCGGTGTAAGCACGGAATAAAATTATAACTTTTTTATTCTAAAGCAATATTTATAAATATTCTACAATAAAACCGCCATACAAACTCTACTCTAAATCTTCAGACTCACAACAATATGTCTTATTACATCATTCAACCTATTTATATCAACTAGTGGGTTCATCCTCTGTTAGCTAACGTTCCCCTATCCTTCGAAAGTTGATCACTTTTCTGGCTACTAAGTTACATCTATTTTAAGTCTGTTCTAGGATAAAATATTACAAAATTAAGTAAATTATTAGAATTTTAAAAACTAATTCCTGTTTAAAAAATTCATATTTGCTGTCAGTTCTAAGTAATTAAAATTAAAAAATTTACATTGAAATAAATGACTTGCAATAGAAAAATTTGCGGAAACAAAACAATAATTTTACTTTTAAAAAAAAACAGCATTTTTTGACGCACATCTCCTACACATTCTTAAATATTACATCTTTTATAAACCATCAATGCTTTCTTACTCTTCCAGAACGAATTTTTTTTTTTTTAAAGCGTAACAGCAAGACTGATACTCATTTTTCAATGAAAAACAATAACAATGAATAAAATTATTTTTGAATCTGTATAAGTGCAATTAAAACATAATGTAGAATCTTTTTGTTGGTATGAATTATTTGTTTTTAACCTTTCGTTTTTTTTCCCAACCTATCACTCAGTTTGTTTTGTCTTTTCGTTATCCATGACAGATCATAATTTTCATTCAGAAATTTGTAGACGTATACGCTCATCGCACGCTTGATATTTCAATTCTTTGTTGCCAACTCGAAAGAAATGCTTTATCGCCGTTTGTGAGAAAAATATATTAAATGAATTATATTTTAAACATATTTTTAAATCACTCATTTAAGATGTTTTCATTTTTTTTTCAATGGAAACTTTTTCCTAAGTAATTTCTAATTATATAGTATACTTTCCTAAAAGAAATTTTAAAAGAAGTGAGACAAAAGGAAAAATCATGTGATTTTCTTTCCCTTTATGTCATTTTTAAGTCGACTGTTTAAACCTCCTTTAGTTACTTCCGTATTAATTCAGTCAGTCACCTTTTAAGAAGTTTCTAATGTCGAATTTATTGCATTTANAAGAATTCGAGAAAGAAAAAAACTTTATAACTATCAGAATAATGTTGGCAGTCGCAAAAGGAAAAGGATGTTGAGGTTTATGGATTTTTTTTTAAATTTATATTTTCATTTAGCGTTTTAAGTATAACTAACACATTTTTAAATAAGGATTTTTATTTGACATTTCGCATTTCGTTCTTAGTGAAAGTTGAAATTTTTCTTTAAGATCTATTTTTTTTATTTTACAGAATCGTTATCTTAAACACATAATAATTTATATTCTTTAAGCAATGAAACACCTATTTGAAACAAAAATTTTTTTATAAAATGACATTTTCAGTACCTTCGTATAAATTTTAGCAAATTATTGATATTGAATTAGATGGGTTCCTTAATTTTTATAACGCAATATTATTAAATTTGACGTTTCTAAGAAATAAGAAAAGAAATTCTGTAAGTTAATTTTGCGTAAATTCACAATGAAACGCACTGAGAAAAAATTTATGGTCAAAACTACCTGAATATTGCTATATTTGCCATGTTTTCTGGCCATGCAGGAACACCAAAAAGTACGGAAATTTTTACCCAATCGCTTTGGTAGTGACTTATGGTAAAATTAAAAATAAAATATGGTTTTATTGCCACGTTGTTTGATATTAAATGTGGTAAAATTTGGTAATTTTAACGGAGCTATTATAATTTGAGAAAACACAAAAATGTTCAGTTTGGTAAGTGCTATTTTATTTAATAAACACTTGTTAACTTTATTTTTAGTTGATTAGTTGCTTTCATTTCTTATACAAATGCCTGGACAAGTCTGAATTATTCAGGAACTTAAATTACATTAGACTGTCCTAACATCCTACAATGAAAGCATGGAGGTAGCGAGTTCGAATTCCACAGCAACCCTAGATTCATCTATTTAATAATATTAATTTATTTACTTTTACACAACCATACACCCACTTATGCAGGAGACTCCACAGTGGACTGATCGTTAAGACACGGTTCCCAGCAGATCACCGAAGTCAAGCATCACTGGCTACGGTCAGTGTGCGGGTGGGTGACCACTTGGATCAATCTGCGTAGGGACCGAGGGTGTGCGGTATTGATCCTCGTTAAACTGTGCTACCGTAAAGTGCTCGACTTCGCGCGCAGTTCGTCGGGCTACCGAAGCGGGTGTGCCATCCCTTCCGCATGTCTTCGGATCATCCTCCGGGATGTTTCCCAGACCGTCGCCAATAGCCCATTGTGCAGCTCTAGTGCGACGTAAAGTAACAACAACAGCAGGAGACTCCATGGTCAAGCAGTCTTGCTTATTCACCAAAAACTATGTAAAATGGAGACTCCACCACAACCTTGGTTGCGGTATTGCTAACTGCTCTGCAGTGTGAACGTAGTGGGATCGAATCCCGCTATAACACTCATGTATATTTTACAGTTTTTTCTCAAACTTGTGTTGTGTGTCTTTTGTAGTAGCATATAGTAAATTATTTATGTTGCGCTAGAGCTGCAGAATGAGCTGATGGCGACGATCTGATCTAAATCAATGGTAAAAATAAATAATAGTTCTGAAGGTCTATTTGGTAATTTTATCATAATACCTTAGAACACGGTATGAAAATCATTCATTCGGTTGCTATTATTCAGTTTTGCATTTTTATTAAATGTAACTAGAACTATAATTTTGAAAGAAAGAAATTCCGATAAACCATTACCAAAATTGACTGAGAAATGAATGGTTTCAATACTGAACATTTTGGTTTAATTCCCAGAATTATGAATTTTTTTACCGGATATGTCTCTAACATACGAGTATGGTAATTTTGCCACAATTTTTCTTGCTGTACACATCGAATAAAATAATATCCGTGACAAACGCAGCTGTTGTAAAAAAACAGTCTTAAAATTCATTTTATCTTCAATATTGACATTTGTCATATATTTTTTGCTGTTTTAATTATCACAGTTTAATGTTTTCATAGTTAAACTAAGGCTTTATTACCACAACCAAATATTTCATACCATTTATGCATGTAATTAATTTAGCAGAAATTGTTTTGGGGAATTTAAGTTTACATTTTCGATATCATTTCGTTATATTTCAAAATAATTATGACTCACATTTTTAAAAAAAATTAGATTTAAAGAAACGTGAGCTAATCTTTTAAATGGGTACGACTAAATTTAGGTGCATGATGGTAGATATCACTAAGTAGGATTTCTTAAGAAAGATGCTTATAAGCATCTTTGCATAGTTATAAATAATATCAGCACTCTGATACGTTACATATTGATCAAAAAAATTTCGCCTTTAACTGCAATTACATAACTGGAGAAGTTAGTGATAGTAATCAACTGCGTAATAATTCATTTCATCATTTTTAAGTGTCACTCGATATGCTGTGATATCTAGAAAACCACTTCGATCTTTCCTACTTTGTTTAAATTTTGTGAAAGAGAAGCTTGTCTACAACAGATTATAGATTCACTATGGAATAGAAAGTTCTTCAATAGTTATAAAGGAAGGGTTCAATCTTTCAAAACGCGTATGAAACTACCAGATTTGTCTAGAGTGTCAGACTAGAGTTTATGCGTTTATATTTTTACTTTATGTACTTTTTAGTAATTCAAGACAGAAACAAAGTTCAAAATTTATAGATTTATTTTAAATATCTGTAGGTCATCTTATGCTGCCTTGCTCTAATTGCTTTTTCCACATCTGCCCCACCAAAGAAAGCAGCTGCAAAAAAAGAAGTAGTAGAGAAAGTAGATGAAGAAGACGAAGGCGAAGAGTTAGATGCTGAAGAAGAAGATCTTGTACCAGAAGGTGGTGCTCATCTTGGGAGATACATAGGTGGAAAAGGGAAAGACTATGAACACAGCTATGAGCATGCAGATGCGTATGAAGGCAAAGCAGGACACGAGAAAGCACATAAGGCCCACGGTGCACATGGACATCATGAACATCACGATCAAGGTAAAACATTAGATTTGTAATCATATGATAAGTAATAAAAATACATACCCACCTAGATGCTACACGTTTTGTTACGTCATTTATTGTTGCTTTTGTTTTCCAAAGAGGTGGGGGAAATTATTACGATCGCCCTGTCCTTATTCTGTTTCTCAACATCTCAGACGTGGAACAAAATTCCATGTAAATATATCAGATAGTAAGTACATTTTAATGAAAGTTTTTTTTTTCTTACTGCAAGTAATGCCTCTAATAACTTGAAATATGCTTTTTTACTATTTCAATACAATAAACACAAACCAGATATTTAATTTTTAATTTTTGAGCTTTAAAATTAAGCTTTAGAATTACATATTTAATGAAAACTGTTAATGTACCTACAATCAATTATTTAGATAATGTATCAGTTAGGCTTTTAATATTACACAAACATGTTCTCAAGTTTTTGAAACTCTTGTGATGACTTTCAGTACGTTCCCAAATATTTTAGCTTTTTTAGCAAAATAAGAAAAAGAACTATTGGTGATATTCCTGTTTAAAAAACAATTATAAAAGCCAATTGTAATCTCCAGAATGCGATACAGAAGGTCCTGTAAGTTCCAACACAGAAAACGTTTTAGCTCTTGAAACAAAAGGTATAATAAGGTGATATTCCATTTCGATACCGAAATTAGATACCGACAATCGACATCGCACGTGACTCAGTGAATCAGGTTCGACGCACACGCGTGATGTAGATTGCAAGTATCCAATACAAAAAATAATTCAGTGAGATAATAAACATAAGCTTCAAAGCAGTAATGTTAACACGCCATGCACAACCACGTGATTAAACACAACCTTGTGATTACCTGCAAGTAAGTTGTCGTGTGATAAATTGCCATTCGTAACCAAAAATATATTGCATAGAGGGTCCAATGCTATGGATTCGTGAACTTATTTAGGAAAAACAAAAAGCGCCAAAACCATTACAGAAAATATTGAAAGTTTCAGTCACTGTCAAAAATAATTTTTATAAATTTTGCTGTTTTCTCAGTGCTAAAATATTTAGAGCAATCAGCTTTTACTCACATAAAAATAAGTTCTTTTACTTTATTATAACAATGTGATGTGTTAGAGCATTGTCAGCAAACGTCTTAAAAATTATCATTCATAAAAGAACAATTGTAAAAGAAAATTATCATTTATTAGAACCAAATCTTATAAAGTATTGTAAACTTAAATTATATCAGTAAGCATTATCACTTTTCATTATCAGTCTCACTGTATTCATTATTTCTTTTTCCTACAAAATATACCTGTATAAATGAGTTTATTAAGTTGTATTAAAAAGTTGTTGTTTTTTAATAGGAGGCTATCGAAAATACAAAGATGAGCATGGAGCCCATGGTGCAGACCAAAAGGAAGGACACGAAGACCATGAAGACCATTTAGATGAAGGTGGTCATCACAGTTTCAAGAAAGAAGGCGAGGTTTATGACAAACATGGCAGCGATCACAAGGGTAAATTAGAGAAAGGTCAGCATGTTGAAGGCATAGAGGAAAGCAGCAAGCATGGCAGCCATGGTGCAGCAGGGGGAAAGCTTGGTACTGAGTTTATAAAAGACAAAGGTCACAAAAGCCATGGATTTAAAAATGTCTACCATAAAGGTACTACATTCTTTGTATTATAAAGTATCAAAACCAACTTTATTACATTTCTCTCTATAAACTTATTTATTTAAAAAAATCCTAATACGTTTATTGCATTAATTCTTATCACCTCAAATATCATAAGCCTGATCGATAAACAGCATAAATATTCCTATATTTAACAAATGGAATTAAATAGTATTTCGTACTAAATTCTGAATCAAAAAATTACTATATAGTTTTTAAAACTAATCAAATAAGGTACGTAATTTGTTTGGAACATATAATGTACTTTAATATAAAAATGTTATTCAAAAAACAATTATCAATTTTGAAAATTTATTTACTAATATTTGGAAAACAGAAATTATATTATTATTAATTAACTATCTGAAAACTTGTGATGTATACCATTGTTCAGATAAAGAGCCATTACTTAAAACCGTGACTACATTCAAAATTCTTATCTAAGCCAAAGAAAAGCACAGAAATGTGTTTTATAAATCATCCGTGTTGGTTGGAGACCTTTCTTACAAATAATGTGCAAGACGCGTGCCAAGAAAAGAAAACGAAATTAATTTCACTAACAATTCCCTCAATTACTGACATTTTTCTGCAAGTACTGTGAATAGGATTCAAATATTTATTTTCAGAAAACCTTTATTATTTCTGTTACATTTTCGGTATTTTTCTTGTTGGCAGGATGGATCCACCGGTACCCATTCCCCTTACAGACACAACGACCTCGGCTTAAACATGAAAATATACAATTAACCATAAAACTATTTAAAATAAATTGTCACGCACAAAGTTCAAAACATAAATGAATTTAATTGTTTACATTTGTTTAAATTTTATTGAAAGGTTAAATTCCTTATGGCTGTATTAATGCATAAAGCTGCATAATTGACGATGCTATTAAATTAAGGTTGGAAAGTTATTTTTCAACGTAATAGGTTAACACGCTTACAGAATACGAAAACGTCTAAAACATTCCAGTTTTATAAAAGTAAATTATATCATATTTTAACAAAAAAAAATTTGAATAATTGAATCTATGAAAGAATTTGACGTTTAGAACATATTTCAGAGTTAGTAAAAAATATTTTTATAACAGAATCAGCTCTGATTGGACAAAGAAATCTTTATGGCAATAAATTATGTAGATTGCTTAATGTCTTATTTGATTAAAAAATAAGACAAATTTTAGAATCACAGTTAGGCAACTCTCTCTGTTATGCCATATTTGTTTGCTTTCAAAACATTTTTCTTTTTTTTTACATTCAAGTGACTAAGCAATGCAGATATTAAAATAATTATTACTGACACTGTTTATACTTCTCTGATTTTATTACGTTTTTCATTGGATTAAAAATATCTAATTCATTTTTAATGAATTTCTTATCAAGACTAGCTAAGTGAATCGAGTTATTCTCTTAAAAACGTAAACACAAAATAACAATAATTGTGACTTCTTCAAACTTACAAAACCTGCTTTATGACAGTGTTTTGAAATTCAGGATCAATTTTATAAGACAATTTAGCTTTCACAAGCAATTCATTCTAGTATGTTCCTATAAAAAAGTATTCTGTTCATAAAGAAAATTTCTGACATTAAAACTAATGAAAAGAATGACAAAATACGAAATATCAAACATTTAAACTTGATGATTGTTTAATAATTTTTTTTTCGAAAACTAACAACTCTCCCACAATTTTGGGGAAAATTGACGAGCAGCGAACAGAGGCCTTTTATTTATCTGTATTTTATGAAAACTAATTTTGAATTGTTTTATTTTCTTTAACATTTATTTAATTTTACCTTTTTTTCTGCAGAGGAATATGGGGAGCACAAAACATTCCATGATGAACACCGAGAGACTGACCACAAAAAGAAATATCACGATGAGCACAAGGACTACAGTCATCACGGAGGAAAACAGTTGAAGCACCAAGCCAACAAAGGACATTTTGACGAAAACAAACACGGCCATGACTTTCACAAATTTGGAAAAGCAGGTCATGATAGTCACCACGAAGGTGGATACAAGAAGGGGGGACATCATCACGCTGCCGGAGATGCTTTCAAACACAATGGAGGAAAGCACCACGAACAAGCTCACGCTGAAGGACACCACAAAGCAGGACACAAAGTTTACCATGACGGAGAACATGATGCAGCGCATCAACACAAAGAACACCGAGAAGCAGCTAAGGGACATCACCACGTTCACACCGGGCACAAGGCACTCGGGGGTTATGATGGTGGTCATGCTTATTATGGTGGACAAGGAGATGGTCAAGGTGCATACGCGTCTGGCTATGATCATCATGGTGACGGTCGACATGTGTATTTCCGCAGAGGTTAAAAGCAAACTGTAATTCACTTCACCCCTCTGACCATACCTACTTCATCTTTAAGTTGCACATGACTCTGATACAGGACAAAAAGCAGCTACGAGCTGCTTCTTATTTATACATTGCATCTCCTTCCTATATATTTTATGCATTAGTTACATTTGTTCCTTCTCTACAACTCAGAATGGTTCCACGATATTAAACCTTTTCAGGGGATAATTAAACTTTTCCAGATCGAACTATTTCTCCATGATTAAAATGCTTCTAAGAAACGTGGTTATTTTTTTGGACCTTCTCGCAATATATTGTATTTTTTTTAAAGAAAAGAAATCAATCCAAACAAAAGTTAAATTTAAATAATTTACCTTTTAATTGCCAAATTATGGGCAAAGTTATGTTAATTGCCAGATTATGTTATATATCAGAGCTATTTACAGTCAAGAGTTTTTAAATGTTTTCGATTCCGGTAATAGCTTTTAATATTTCAAATTTTTTGGTTGCCAAATTTCAGAAGAAAGGACTTAAAAATTTACAGTTGTTTGAACGAATTTTAACTGTCTGAGAAAATTTGATTCATAAAAAAAAATTATAAAATTTGAATAAATATTTTAATAATGCAGTTCATCATTTAAATCATTATATTGGAAAATAATACTTTTTTTAATTACGAATTCACAATAATTTTTTATAGTCATGGTAATATACATTAACATGGTAGCATATAGAGTTAAGGATATAATTGAGCTTAATTTTAAAATGAGCCTTAATTTTCACAAAGTATAATTTAACTAAGCAGTTCAGCAATTTTCTTAATTTAAATTAAAAATATTTTAATGCATGTCTTTAATATTGATATCAATTTTTAAAAAGTCACAAGGGACTGAATTTATAGGTTATTACTTCCTCGTATAAATTTCGAAACAGTTTGAAACAAAAGAAACATTCCTTAAAATAGACTCAAAACATTCATGTTTTTATATACTTTGAACTTTTTTCTAAAAGCTTATGAACAAAGAATGCTTCCTGTCATTCTCTATGATTGAAATATAGGAAAGAAAGAATATAAATCTCTGTGATCCATTTCGCCTTAAAAACATTTCATTAGTGTTTTTGAAAAGGACGTTCCAACGTCATTACTGTGAGTGTTTGTGTACATATTTTTGTATGTTATTCTGTGATCTCTGTAATTTATTTGCATAATGTCATGCATGAAAATTGTTAAAAGGTTAATAAAAAAGTGCGTGCGCAGTTATTTTGAATTTCTTTGTGTGGTTGAGATTCAAAAAATAATTTTATATATTATTTCAACTCTAACTGGTATAAGAATGTTAAGCATCGATTTTCATCAATTTGTTAAAATTTAGAGGAAATTTATTTTTAAATGATTGGCATTTTAAAATCATATAAGCATTAGACTAGAATTAAAACAGCAAGTATAATTACTATTCCACAAAAAAACATGAAAGACAAAGCATATACTCATTGCATATAAAGCAATTAATTTATTACACTATGATAGAATTGTACTTCCCACATTATTAGTGGAAACTACGAAATTATAACTGAATTGCGATTAAATTCTAAAAACAGAATTGCGATTATATTTTTGTGGATGTTCCTCTAACTTTGCATAAAGTTAAAAATATGATAATAAAAGTTGTATGAATAAAAATGCTGTATGCCTCTGCATACAAATGCTTCAATACTACAAACTAACATCACTAAGTAAATGATGACATCTGAGAAGAATTCTTTGTTTAGGCACTCATAGTGTTGCTTATTTAATTGTCTGTAGTATCGAGACAACTAATAAGTCTAACTTATCTGATACTTTATTTTATACTAGCTGAATACCCATTCTTCGTTTGAAGAGAATAAAATCAATTAGCAATTAACTGAAACAACACTACAAAACCAAACACGAAACTTAATAATAAATAAAGAAAATAAATAATAAGAAAATAATAAATATTTACTAAAACTTATTTTTTGCGTGGAATTATCTTTGGAGAAACAAATTTTGTAATTGTATGCAAAAAATTTTAAATTCGTATATAAAGTTCTCCAGATATGGCGATTGACCTAACTATGGGGACCATATTTCTCAGATTGCGATTTTTTGGGGTCAAAATTCCGAATCCGTCGGAGGAAAAAAGGTACGTTTATTTAGAGATAGTACGTTTTTGTGCCTGATTTCGTAACTTGAAATTATCTTCTGCACTTATTAATTAGCATATTTGAGATCACTCCCTCAAACTACTAACATTGAGTCCTAGAACGTTAAGATTCGATCATTAAATCAAAAGTTGTTCAGAGTGGCCCGTTTTTTTTTTTCTTTGAGCACTGTATTTTTTTACTTAAATTAGTTAAGCATCATTGACGTTAATGATATATTATTGACGCCAATGCCAATAACACAATATTATCACCATACAATAGCATGGCGAATTTTTTTTTTTTAAATGAATTAGTACCACCTTTTCTTGTACTTGCCTGTCAATGCATAACTAATTTTTTTAATTATTTCAATTACCGTTGATTCTAAATTATTTACTTTTATAGAAACTCGTTTAAAAAATTTATAAATGAAATAAACACGTGGTTTTAGATGGCTTTAGAAATACTAATTTTGTTAAGTAGTTTACCAAATGCTACCACGTTGACGTTGTTCCTTGAAATTATCAGACTTGGCAAAAACAATAACTAAATATTATATTAAGTGCAATAAGTTTTTTTTTATCAAATAGAGCAATAAACTAACAGATATCACTAATGTTATCTGTAAAATATGTGACAAAATGAAATCGTCTATAGTTAAATTGAAAACAATGGTTAACTCTTCACCAATCAGAGAATTACATAATGTTTTTCGCACATTACGTTCGAGCGATTCGTAATAGAATGTTCTAGTGCTTCGAACTATCAGTTTGCCTGATTTTTCATCGTCTTTGGTCGAATAGTTTAGAAGTCTATTAAGGACAGACAAACAGACATTAATTTTTATAGATAAAATTCTAATTTTCTCATACCTCCTTTTTAATAAAAAAAATATCTAACTAAATTAATATACAATAAAAATTCCAGGGTAGTAATATAAAAAAACGAGAAACTTGTACTATGGCAATTTTCATTTAGTGCTTTTTTTTTTCTTTTTTTTTTTTAAATGCAGGTTGTGGTGCCAAAATGCATTAAATATACACTTCTTGTAATAATATCTTAAATCGTATATTTAAATTCTTATTTTTCAAGAACTATGCGTTCGATTCCCTTTAAATTTTGGTCATTGAAAATCCCATAAATTAACTTGGTGTAAAATTTGTTTAGCTTACAATTCAAATTTTTTTTTGGACAAATGTAAATTATATATTTTTAAAAAAATGAATATTATAAAAAGAAATTTTTTACATGGATCTTTGAGTATCCTTTGAAAAATAAGTTTGATCATTGTGTGCAAAAAAAAAATTCATTCGCTTTTTTAGTTCCACAGATATGAATAAATGCACAGAAAGTGATATTATGACTGTTTTTTGAAGGCACCATCGTCATATGAAATGATGCTTTTTTTGCGAATAATATTCTATTTTCTTTACTGTTGAGAGTTTGAAATAGTTACTCATAACTGTTCAGTCAAGTTTAACCAATCTAAAGTCAGCATCCTCTGTGCTATTTCGGAAAATAACTCAAGGTATCAATAGTGAGATAAGCCACAGTTTTATGAAAATGAAAAGTGTTTGTGGTCTAATTTTTTGAAAGGATTACTTGGGCTCATAAAATTTTTTAAAAACCGAGAACAAAGCAGTAACTTTGATAATTTTCATCTAGGTGGAAAAATATCTCCGAATTGGTGATTTTTACAATTTTTAAAATATTTAATTTGTTTTTTCGTTCTAAAGCCCAGATAATTCTCGGCAAGATGATATATATATAGTTTAAAGCATCGTTTTGCTTCAAGTGTAAGGCACTTAAACTGTGGCTTTTTTATTTTTCTTGGCGACAAATCTTCGAAAAACCATTTTAGCAATAAAGAACCCAAACTTTCGGTTGTTCTCTGGCCTAAGCTACAAGGACAATATTTTCAATATTACGTCTACACTCCCCCCCCCCCCCTATATCTTGGGGTCAAAAATCCAAGAATCCAAAGTGCGTTTAAACAGAGAAAATATTATGTCACTTTTATATCTGATATATCCCTTTAACTTTGAATATCTGACTTTCGAAATTTAGACCCGCGAATCTAAAAGATTGGGTCTTAGTACGTTAAAATCCGATCGCTAGATAAAAATTGCATATGTTATTTCATAGAAGGCATATGAAATGTAAATAATAGGAATTTATTAATAGTTTGTCTCCCTCTGAGGGAACTTACAACTTTTTTAAATGATCAACTTTCTCATTTCAATCAAATTTTTCCTCACAGATTTAGAATACACTAAGAGACGGAAAACAAATTTTTTATTTAATTACAGTAAACTTTTTACAATTTGCTCCTGGTCTGTCTGAAAATCAGCACAACTGCATCGCAATTTTCCACTGAAACGCAAACGCATTTTAACTCCCTTAATAACGACTGTGTGCTGTGGTAACTTATTAAAACAGGGTAAAATTTCGAGAGACTGTTATCTTGTTGGTATCTGTTTGGGTAGTTGTCCCTAAATATAATAAAATTTTACCTGTAACCGTTTAAAAAAAAACATTTTAACTGTTTTTATGACGTATAAAAAGTGTTCCGAAATCACTGCTCTTAATAGAGTATAGCCTTCTGCAAGCTCTACGTAAACTTTGAGGAACTGAGGTTGCTTTGTGGTAATTGCGCCAAGTAGATCTTATACATGGAGCGTGTCGGATGTTAAGTTAAAATGCGAAATCTCTGTAACACATGTACTTTTTAGAAGCCTTGTCAAAAATGAAGATTCGAAATAACCAAAACACCTACTTGATTACTGGTAGTTAAAAAAAAAAGGTTGAAAATTGATGGGTAGAAACACCTTCATATTTCATTTTACAATCAAACTGATTTTGTTGTTCTCATTTCTCAACTATAATTTCTCAGATACAGATTAAGTTTTTGTTTTTACCTCCCAGCAATATTCTATGAGTCCTGCTGCTCTTACATTCCTTTTAATTGATCTTTGATAAACTTTTTGGAACAATGCATTCCGGGTAGTAACTACAGAACACCCTTTAAAAGAACGAATGGTTTGTCTTGTAATATCAGAAAACATTGAAAGAAAATTTTTTGAGACATGGTGAAATACACAACAAGTAAAATTAACATTTAGGAGTCCAAACTTTGGTCCTCTCTCTTAAAGAAACTCTTAATACCATATTTCCCAGAATGTGGCTACCCGCTATATTTTAGGGTCATAAATCTGAATCCGTCGGAAAAAAAGATTTGTTTATTCAGAGTATGCTTTTTTGTGTCTGATTTTGAAACTTAAAATATCGTCTGCATTAACTAATTAGTTTATTTGATGTCCTTCCCTTCAATTATTAAGATTGAATCATAAAACGTGAAGATTCGATCATTATATCAAAAGATCTTCAGGGTGGTCCGTTTTTTATTTTGCACACTGTGCATTTATTAATCTAGATTCATTTAGCTTATTTTAGATATTATAATCAGATTAAGCAAAAATTCCACCCACATCATATAAAGTTTAACTTCGTGTCAAATTTTAACGTTATTTCTATCGTCTGAAAATAACAGACAAAAAATATCTTTTTATTTTATTCTTTTAAAATCCATTTTTTACTTTTAAAAGCAGAAAAATATTTCCTTTTAAAAAATAAATTCACATCAATAATCTTCTTTGATTTATTTTCTCCGCACACACACACACAAAAAATGAATACTATTATAATAAAACTTCTCTAACATTTTCTTAAACAATAACAACTGCGTCTTTTAAATTTTCTTTTTTTCACAAAAAAAAAATTTTCGGAAAAATGGGTACTTTTCAGATACAAGAGATTCTCTTAATATTGTGACTGTTTGCAAAAAAAAAAAAAAAAAAAAAAAAAAAAAAAAAAAAAAAAAAAAAAAAAAAAAAAAAAAAAAAAAAAAAAAAAAAA